TGTGTTTGTGTGTGTGGTGTGGGGGGGGGGGGGGGTGGAATCAAAATCTTGTAATCACCTATGAAATAGATTAACTCTTCTTCTTCAGTGTTTTCATATTACTCTTGGAGAGATTTCTGAAAAGTGTATTTTCCCAGTTCCTAAATGTCATCGGTGAAATAATTGGTTTCTAAAGGTCAGAAAGGCCACTTTGCCTGTTAACGAACATGCCACAAGTGAAATAGAAATAACACCTGTTACCAGTTTAGAAGAGACTAACTGGCAGCACCCTTAAAAAACCCATAGTATTGCTTCCTGGGAATCTGTGTAGTGATGGTAAAGCTGCATTACTGGACATCTAGCCCACTAGGGCTGTTAATTAACTTTAAGAGCCTTTCAGAACTGCAGAGTGTAGGAAGAGAAAGTGCTCATTTCCAGCACACAACCTGGGTACCGTTTTTTAAATAGGGGAGCAGCTTGCTTCCTTTTGAAAGATCAAGTTTTCCTTTGCTGGATGGGGCCCCACAGGAGGTGCTGGACTAGTACATTTCTCTTTCTGTAGGAAAACAAATCCTCTTTACCCAAGGGCACGTGACCCAGGCATTACCCATGTGAATTCACAACATGCCACACTCCTGCAGCGTACACATCTTCCCTCCAGCAATATCGGTGTCACAGCCTCCTCCAGACCATTCTCCCTCTCCCTAACAACCAGCTGCTACATCTTATTTCTGAAGATAAAGGCAATACAAAATATTTCCATTGTCTGAGTTATGAAGGACATTTATTACCTGTGCTCCTTTTTCACCTGAATTAAACTACCTACTCATCCTCACTGCCTCAAACACCAAGAATTTCTCTGTGTGTGTGTATGCATATATATATTTATATATAAACACTTGCTGTATCTCTACATATGTATGTATGTATCTGTCTATAGACATATATACCTACACACCCCCCCTTCAAGGCAGCCTGTACTGTATTATACACCCAAAAGAACATATGTATTTTAGGAATGGCATGACCAGGCTAATAGAACTGCTGTGCTCTGCAACGTCCAGTTAGTATAAAACTGAAATGTGACTTTCAATGATCAAACCATATGCTTGAAGCACTTCAACAATATTTTAAAGTTCTAATTTATGACAACAAAATATTAGATCAGGTGAAGAGAAAATAATGTCTTACTAAGTCACCCTTTTCTCCTCCATCTCCTTCTGCTCCAGGTGCACCCTATATCAAAAAAAGACATACTATCAGCCTTCAGATTTAGTCAACGTAATGTACTGCAGCATTTGGTAGTGTGACTTGAAAGTACCATCACCTGCAACATGACTTACTTGTTCACCCTTAGGTCCTGGTTCACCCACTGAACCCTAAAAGGTTAAAGATTTAAAAAAAAAAAGAAAAAAAAATTCAGAATTTGAAACTGCAGGTTCAAAAGCATACTAAATTATCTTCAATCCTCCCTATCATCTAGCACTAATGCAAGAGACCTTTAAAGCTGCAAATTTTTAAGAATGACAATGAAAGCACTTAAATCTTACTATATAATTAAGGTGACAGACTGAAGGCAAGTAATAGCATAGAACATATAATCCACTGCCACGCTGGATGGTACAGATTCTGACTGTCAAACGGTAGTTCTCCCCTTTATATGGCAGATGTTCTTGCAGCTACTACAACTCTGCTCTGCAAATTGGTTAGAAGTTATAAGAAAAAAATCCAGTAAGCGTATCCCTTTTTCTAGCCTTTGTAAGTATTCTGTATTGACGTAGGCCATACTAGCCCTGCTAACACGCGATAAGCACACTGAGACATCCACAAATTCAGTCACAATCTTGTCTTGCTTGCTGTTTAACTCAACATTTTTTAGCAGAACTATCTCTAGAATTTTTGATCATTACAGTCAAAGCTGAATGGCTTGTATCATAAAGTTGATATTCCTTTTTTTAAAAAAAACCCTAATATTATTATGTTTCGTCTTAGAATCCTGTAACAAAACATACCTGTATGGACAAGCAGGAACCAAAGAGGAATAAATAAATGACCTGATTAATTTCAAATATATGTAATTTGTTTCTACAGTAAAAATATTTCATTTGCAGAACAGTGTATTATTTAAGAAAATCCTAGTATTTCTGTTCTGTTCTGCAAATGTTATTTGCAGTCTGTGCACATTCAAATCTATACATTCCAAAAGAACTACAACTGTCCATTAAAAAAATACTTCTAAAACAGATGGAGATACAGCATTTTTCCTCCCATTTCAGAGATCCATTTAATTCACATAAGATATAAGCACACAAACCAGTGTAACATCCACAATTTAATGAATTCAGATTTGTTCTCATGTTCCTGAGGACAAAGAGCCAATACTAAATTATCCACAAAGCTAAGCAGTGGAAAACACAGACCTAGTTAACATTCTGACTTTGTCAAACAACACTGAAACTATTTTTGCCTGAAGTGTTCTCAAAATTGTGCCTTATTACGGTTTTCCAATTACTCACAAAAAAAGACATTGACTTTCAACCTAACATCATTTTGGGGGTTCTTTTTCTCCACTTACTCTTCTTTAGAGTAACAAAACTGCCAATAGCTAAGGTTGAGATGGGAGAAGCTTTCGCTATTGTGAAACATGGCCTGTAATATTATCAAACATAAAAATCACAGCTGAAAATATCTGAATCTATTCTACATTGACTCCCAAAATTTCAATAGGGACAATAGGGTAAGATGTCAAAATATGAAAAAATCCACTTTTTTTTTTATGTACTGCTTATCTATTTGTAAACATCCCCCTCAAACCATGCCCAGAAACTGCAAACAGAACAGCCAGCATCAGTCAAAACTGCACTAGGGACTGCACTAGAGGATATATCCTCTAGTATAAAGGATTGTGTTCCAGTGCCAAGGTCTGGGTCTTGGCCTGGTGCTGTTTAATTTACTAAGATAGACAGAACCAGTGTCTGAAACCAATTCAAACTGTGTGAATCAGAAATAGCATAGGTGGTGAATGCTGGGGTTTAGTCATTCTCTGTAACATATCTACAAAACTACTCTGTAAGATTCACTGAAGCATGATCATAGAATCATTTAGGTTGGAAAAGACCTTTAAGATCATCGAGTCCAACTGTAAAGCTAATACGGCCAAGTCGGAAAATAAATCATATCCCTAAGAGCCACATCTACACGTCTTTTAAATATCTCCAGGGATGGCAACTTGTCACTTCCCTGGGCAGCCTGTTCCAGTGCTTGACAACCCTTTCCTCCTCACTCACCAAGGGCAGAGGCAGAGCAGACCCGTCCCTTGTGTCTCTAAGTCCTCAACGAGCTCCAGCCCACACAATGCAATAGTTCCCCACTTTGGTACAACTCATTCACCCATAGCCAGAGCCTCACATACCACGCAGGGCTCATCATCTGTTCTCCATCCTACTTCATAACTTCCCTTTGGACACCCTCCCCATCCTTACTGCAGTCCAGATCAATGGGATCCACATTGTTTTTCCTATTTTTAAGCTGCCAGCTCTTGCGCTGAGTGGAGACCCAGAGTAATGCCTGATCCCATTAGGGAAAGGTGTGCTGCATTTCACCCTGCTTCCCATTTGCTTCTGCACCCTTTGTGCTTCTCCTTTCCTGTGCTGGGAGGCCTTCAACGCAGAGTTTGGGAAGCACTGCGCACACGTGGTGCTGCTGGCACTGACTCGGTCCCAAGCAGACACTCCCTTGGTGGAGGGAAACAGGATGACTTTCCCTTTTCTGCCCGGTGGTGAGTGTCTCTGGTCAGGTCTGGCTGGTGCAGTGCTTGCAGCTCACATGGTGCCCAGCAGCTGGTGGCCAGGGTTGCAGCTGGCGCTCAGTGCTCATTTGAAGGTCTTGCCCATCCAACTAAGAGAGCATGATCCATCATTGTAACATTGTTTTGTATTATCTTTCCTATAATAAGTCAGGAGTGTGATGGATGCACTCGACTCCTTGACCAAAATAACAGCAGTCTTGTTCAGGCTCCAAAGGAGGTTGCCTGCCACTTCTTCCAAAGGCCATAAACCCTCCTTTTTTCCCTGAGTTCCAGCCAAAACTCTCTGTTCAGCCAGGCCAGTCTTCTTCCCTACTGGCCTCTTTCAGCACATGGGGAGGGCCTGCTCCTGCGCCTTTAAGGTTTCCTTCTTGAAGAATGTCCAGCCTTCCTTTGAAGGGCAGCTCCTTTGCCCTTCAGGACTGCCTCCCAAGGGACTCTGTCAACCAGTCTCCTAAACAGGCCAAAGACTGCCCTCCAGAAGTCCAAAGTAGCAGTTCTGCTGACCCCTCCTCCTCACTCTTCCAAGAACTGAAAACTATTATTTCATGATCGCTATGCCCGAGACGGCCTTCAATCATCACATCACCCACAAGTCCTTCTCTGTTTGCAAGCAACAAGTCCAGCGGAGCACCTTCCCTAGTTGGCTTACTGACCAGCTATGTCAGGAAGTTATCTTCCACATACTCCAGGAACCTCCTGGACTGTTTCTGCTCTGCTGTGTTGTACTTCCAGAGAACATCTGGTAAATTGAAGTCCCCCATAAGAACAAGGGCTAGCAATCGTGAGGCTTCTCCCAGCTGCTTATAGAATATTTTGTCTACCTGTTCATTCTGGTTGGGTGGTCTATAACAGCATCCCACCATGATGGCCTTGTTGGCCTTCCCCCAATTCTTACCCATAAACCCTCAACCCTATCATCACCATCATCAAATTCTAGACAATCAAAACACTCCCTAACATACAGGGTGACCTCTAGGCCTCCCCCTCCTTGCCTATCCCTCCTGAAGAGTTTGTAGCCATCCATTGCCATTGAAGCACTCCAGCTGTGCAAGTCATCCCACCATGTTTCTGTGATGGCAGCTACATCATAGTTTTCCAGCTGCACAATGGCTTCCAGCTCCTCCTATTTACTGCCCATGCCACATGCATTGCTGTAGATGCACTTCAGTTGGGCTACCGATCCCGTCACCTTTTTGAGGGGAGCAGCCCTAATTCCTACCTGACCATTCTCAGGCACTTATGTGGTTTTCTAACCAATCAATAACCTTTGTGTCTTTGATGTTGCTTGGCTCTCCATCTCCTACCTCCACTGAGATGGCAGACCAAAGGACCTCACTAGCACATCATCCCATAAAAATTGGCGTGCCACCTCCAGGTTTATCTCTAGCAAGCCTGATTTTATCCCCTTCACCCTTCAAATCTAGTTTAAAGCTATTTCAACAGGCCCCGCTAACTCCTGTGCAAAAATCCTTTTCCCCCTTTGAGACAGGTGCACCCCATCTGTCACCAGCAGGCCTGGTGTTGTGTAAACTAACCCACGATCAAAAAACCCAAAATCCTGCCAGTGACACCAGGCTCAGAGCCAGGTATTGATACACTGGCTTTTCTCATTTCTTCCCTCATCATTCCTTGAACTGGAGGGATAAAGGAGAACACTACTTGTGCTCTTGATCCCTTAACCAGTTGTCCCAAGGCCCTGAAGTGTCTCTTGATTACCCTCAGATTTCTTGTTGCAATTTCATTGCTGCCTACCTGAAAAATCAATAACGGATAATAATCTGAGGGCCGTACCAGGGTAGGAAGCTTTCTCTTCATGTATTTAACCCAAGGCCCAGGGAGACAGTACACTTCCCTAAGAAGTGGGTCCAGTCTGCATATTGGGCCTTCTGTTCCCTTCAGAAGGGAGTCTCCTATGACAATGACCCAGTTTTTTTCCCTTCATGGAAGCAGTTCTGATGCAGGGCATAGGCTGACTTAACCTCAGCAACACCTCCAAGCTAGATGAGCCATCATCCTCCTTATTGTTTGATTCCCCTTGCAGAGCCTCATACCTGTTATGCAAGGACATCCGGGAAGGTGGGGTAGTCACAGAGCAGATGCACTGGGCAGGAACTTGTCACCATTGCCCCCTATCCCTTAAGTCACTGTGTTCAATGAGGCAGAGGGAGGATAGGGAATCTGCCACGTCATGCATCTTGTCTGCCCGTTGGGCCTGTCCTAGGGAAGGTTGGGTGCAATTCCAGCAGTCTGTCTCTCTCTCTCTCGCACTCCCTGATACTCCTCAACCTATTCTCCTCCCGGAGCTCTGTCACTAAGCAGAGGAGTTCCTCCATCTGGGCACACCTCCCACTGATGTGCTCACTGCTGCCCTCCTGTACTGCCCTAAGAGCAGGGCTCACAGTGCAGCCTGACACCTGGGTGTCAGCGTGTTCCCACCAGAGCTCTGTCTCGGAAGCTGCGTCAGTCGTGGTGGTGCAGAGCCTAGAGAGGCCATGGCTGTCTGCCAGGTGGATACCATCGCACCCTGGTTGAGCTGGCAGAGCTTCAGTGCCCTTCCCATGTGAACTGCCG